AATTTAAAGTTTTGAGTTTAGGGCTACTATGCATTTGACTATTTCAAAATAAGCATTACGCCCTCTATGGAAAAAAGAAGGAATGCATGTTTTTCTGTATAGTTGCATTTTTAAAATAGTTTGACAACAAATTTTTTTTGCAGCTAAGCTTGTGTTTTACGGTGCGTCAGGGTGCTGGTGAAATTACAGGCACATGGGTCTTGTCAATTTATGTCTCAGGTCGACGGGGATAGTGAATTGTCACTCAGATCTTTACAATTTAAAGGTCTGTGTGGCGCTGCAACTGTAAAGAACAAGCATGTAACTTGTTCGTCCTATCCATTGACTTACAAATAAATGGATGACGGGTTTAATACAAAAACCACGAAAAAATGTCCCAAGTCAACCTATTCGAAATTTAAATTGTAATGTCATCGCAGTATCGCGCTGTCAGTCGAACAAATGAAGACTAAAGCGGAGTTTGGCGCTCTGTATACGATTTTAGCGCCTTACAAGTGCGGACACTTTTTAGCGCGGACCCGACGTCCATATAATTGTAAGTCAATGGTCCTATCACATGAATTTGTGAGAAACGGGCATAACAGATTTTAAAAAATAACGTACCTACTTGCCACCTGCCATCATGTGTCACTTAATTTTACGAAATGTATTTTGTCAGTTTGCCAAAAAAGTTATAGTCATTTTATTAATGAGGTTTTATTAGTACCTCAGTACAGCTTCTTCTTCGTCTTGGGGTGCCATCTCCAATCGGAGGTCGGCTATCGTTGTAGCAATTTGAGTCCGTGAAGTTGCGGCTCGGAACACTTTTGTGGTACTAATGTTAAACCACTCTGCAAGATTTTGAAGCCATGTGGTTTTTCTACGACTGCGTTATCTGCGGCTCTGGGTTTTTCCCTGCAGAATGAGCCGCAGTAGGGAATATTTATTACTCCGCTTGATGAGCCCGAGGTACTGCAGTTTCCTCTTTTTTACTGTCTTTAAAAGCCTTTGTGCATCCTCTGCGATACGTTGTCATTGGTGACTCTATCCGTCCACGATATTTTCGAAATTCTCCGATATACCCACATTTCGAAGGCTTCTAACCGTTTACATAATGTCTGAGTTAGTGTCCATGCTTTTGCAAAGAATTAAAAATATGTAGCACCGCACTAAACGTCATCTTGTCGATAGTTTGAGACTAAGATTGCAAAGGAGGTGGCTCATTTTAATAAAAGCACTCCTGGCTTGCTCTATGCGCCATCTAACTACTATGCTGTGGTCTTCCTGGTCGTTTACCATATAGCCAAGGTATTTAAAAGAACGGATCCTGTCAAGTGGTTGGTTCCTAGCGTGGAGGACAGCAAACGTCTGCGGAGCACGGACGATAATCATGCACTTAGTCTTTTTAAGTACCGCTAGGTAATTAGATTCATAAAGACAGAGGTGCTTTATAAGAACCGCGGTATACGGTTAACTTATCAGCACCTGGAAACTTTTCCAGAGCCGCCTGCACGACGTGGTGTTTTTATAACAAACAGCAATAAACAATAGGCCATAATAGCATAACTACCTACCTAGGTAGAGATCTACGTAATAGTATTGGTAAGCAACAATAATGTTCGAGTAGAAATCGGATAGATTATTTGCCTGTCGGACCGAATGGATTTTAAGTTCCGGGACCTATCCCAGTATTACTTAGGCAGGGGACAAGTCTAGATTCAAAAGGTAAGTAGGTAAGTCTTTGTACATGTTAGTCATTTACAAACTTGCTCGTAATTGCTTGTGACGAAAATGTTAAGACCCCGTACAAACGTGTGTCTTGTTCGTGTTGGATATTGGATACAAGCAACGCACGACTATTTACATAAATATTATTTAAATAAATTAAAGTTTCATTTGTAAAAACGGGGAAAATTTAAGAGTCCGGTAATTAAAAAGAAATCTCCCTGTATATAATGGATTTCATGTCACATACACGGAACGCCGCCGGAAGAATTTTTATGAAAGCCTATCTTTTGTCGTAATATGGCAGCTGCGGTAAAAATAGCAATGTGTTATGCTTACCTACACACATTGTATGGTTACGTAAGTCTTGTAACGAAGTTATTTCGTCGTAAGTGCCTAAGTGCAACCTAGTTAATGCGACTTTGTGACTCGGGAAATGGGCAAATCAATTATTTAGAGGCTTTCGTTTTTGAATTCGAGGCTTAACCTACCTGCCTACCTACTTACCATATATGTACGCATAAAATAGATTGTCTAAAAATTTTCTTGCAGGAATCACATTGAAGAGTTAGAATTTTCTACAGATCATCTGCAGCTTGATATTGATTGCCTCTCCCGATCGGAAACTGCGTCTTTTCCGAGTGGAAGCGTATAATATTGCGGGTGAGCTACCCTCCGATTTGAATTAAAAGCAGGCATTTAACCAGAGCGCTCTGCCAGTTATGTCCTACGCAGCTGAGACGTGGACATTAACAACATTAACAACTCGTCCACAAATTCAAGGTCGCTCAGCGTGCGATGGAGCGAGCTATGCTTGGGGTTTCTCTGATGCACCGAATCCCTAACGAAGTCATACATCAGAGAACTAAAGTGACTGACATAGCTCGCAAAGTCAGTGGCAGTGGGCCGGGCATGTCTGCAGGAGGGTTGAACGCCGATGGAGCAGACTTGTTCTGGAATGGCGACCACGTCAAGGAAAACGTAGTATGAGACGCCCTGCGGCAAGATGGACGGACGACCTGGGGCCCTACCATAACCTCTCCATTAACAATCTTAAACTAAGCTTACTATAATATTGTACCATGACTTGTTAACCAAGTAATGTATTATTGCTAAAGTCATTGAAAGAACGAATGATTTCCCAATATTGTCTATTCCTTACTAAAAACAGGAAAGAAATAACGCTATATGGACTATATAATGCCATCTATTTCTTTTTTGATGTTCCGAATCGTCTTATAGTAGTATAATGTTTAAGTACTTTTTTACATGCAGAGAATTTTAACTGTTAAAACAAGTGTTAACGCGTATACGGTGATGACATCTACCGGAAAGTATTCACTACAGCGATGAATTGACGGCGTAGTCGTTTTACGTTTTTTGTAACTTTTGAATTGTATCGAGTGACTCACACGGCAAACTCCTACTGTAACAGACGTTCCTAAATAATATACGAATATTTTTACAAGATATAATAAAGCCATTCATTTTAAGAAGCTTACTATAGATAGGAAACGAGTGGACAAAGGAGAAGATAAGAGGCTCATCACAGCGACCATACACACACTACAATAAGAAAAGTACGTAATAATAAAATCTATTAAAATTACTTTGTTTTCAATTATTTTTGCGCATTTTCATGAAAAAAAAAATAAATAAAACAACCTGAGTCTTGATAGTCACGCTGTGAATTCGGAACTAGTCTACTGTCAATTGTTAGTTTCGCTAAGGAGCATATAGATGGCGCTGTTATAATTTTACGAAATAAACATCCCGTATTTTTATTTAACGAAAAATTCTTTACTATGTGTTAATAAATAAAAAATAAGAAAAATATTGAAGACATATATGTAAATAAATAAGTTCAACTTAACTTTTAATCGTTACAAACATTGACTTACAATTATATGGACGTCGGGTCCGCGCTAAAAAGTGTCCGAACTTATAGGGCGTTAAAATCGTATACAGAGCGTCATTCACGCTTTAGTCTTCGTTTGTTCGACTGACAGCGAAGCAAGCAAAATTAGACAGTACTACGATGACATTACAATTTAAATCTAACGTTTTAGCTTTTTCATATTCCTTTACATGTCACTACGTTTAAATAGGTTGACCTGGGACATTTTTTTCATGGTTTTTGTATTAGACCCATCGTCCATTTATTTGTAAGTCAATGGTTACAAATGAATATTAAGGCAATAAAACTGACATTAATATTATTTCCATTGCATCCGTGTAACTATTTTATGATTTCTAAATTTGAGAGCAATGTTACTTTAATGTTAAAGTCGCGTCTTATTACGATCTGAGTGAATGAATAGTCACAAAGCTGCCAATAAGACATCATCGTTTTAACATTACAATAAGCTTAATTTAAGCGCTTTATGGTTCGAAAAGTCAATGTAAGGTTAAAGCAATATTGTTTTAAGAGGTTGTGGTAGGCCCCCTGAGCAAGGTGGCCGGCAGTGGCTGGGTGCGGGCGGCACAATACCGGGAAAGTTGGCGTGCTCTAGGGGAGGCTTATGTCAGGCAGTGGATGCGTGTAAGCTGATGATGACGAAACACGTTCCCTTAAACAACCTATTCACTACCTACATGGCAATCCGCTGCGCAGGCAGGAAACTTATCACACATGGAGTCTCGACGGACGCATTGCAGGATTGCAATTTCATAATCCTGCATTACGCTGCGGACTGCAATGCAGGATAATGAATGTCCTGTTTTAGCCACACAAAACTTAACTTTTCGAAAAAAACTTAGAAGTACAGTTTTTACAAAGATTAATTTTATTTTAAGTATATTAAGAAGAAAATACAAAGAAAGAAATAGTGATGAAGAAAGTTAGAGCTGTATTTCTTATTTTAAACCAAATTACAAAAGTGCTTACCCTGAAAATTCCAATAATTACGAATTCAAAGTTTTTCTTCAAAGTAACAATAATGTGATTTAAGTGAAAGTGAAAACGTAAATATTGGCTTCCGCCGCTTAATAGACAAGAGAACTAAGTTATTTAAGAGAAAGTGAAAACATAATGTTGTAGAACCACAATGGAAAATATTTAATGAGGATCCTGATAATTAAACGAAGACAAGGCTCAAAGAACTTGTATCCAAGTCAAAACTCTTCATAAAAAAAAGAACTTAACTTTTCGGGTAACGTAGACTTTCCATCCTCTAAGACGAAATTCGTCGGGTAACGAAATGTAATTTTCGACTCAAGAGCCCTGGCAACACCATTCACTTGTCAAACAAAAGTCAAAAATAAAAATTGTCGAAACATTGGAAACACATTCGCGCTCGCGAAATAAACAATTTGGGGGTTGATTCGCAATCTTAGTTGGTGGTAGCAAGTGTCTCCGCTTTGATAATAGTTATTCGGGGTTATTTTGTGCTTTGATCGCTGTTGTTGTTTTTGTATATACAGTGAGTTCGCTGTGATCGTCGTTGTGTAAGTACTATAAAATAAACTCGAACCGACTGAACCTCCTGATCCTGGTGGTGGGTGTGTTTTAAATAATTGGTCCCCTCAACCATTGACACGATTAGCAAACGATTCCCAATCTCGGAAAGGACCCTCAATAATGACAGGGTTGGTTCAGTCCACTCATTCTATCCAAATCACTTTCACACATCCCTTCCCAGACTTCGGATTGTCAAGTTATCATACTCTAACTTAGCTATTGTTCTTTTTATCATTCGTATTAAAAAAAATACAGCTGCTTAAAAGCAAAACCTAGTAAAGGATAAATTTTAGAAAATAATTTTTGAATAGAATGCTACATCTCCCATAGTAAGTACTCACCTAACTACAGTGACAACCGCTTCAAAATTATCAAAATTTTCCAGACATTTCGAAACCTCTAAACCTAATAAGGCACACCTAGTCAGATTTGTGACCAGTCAACAATCTTGTAAGCCACTTTATTGGTTTTAAAGTAGTTAATGCATGTTATGACCTATTTGAATTGGCAATTAATAGATAATAAACTTCATTGATTACTTTAATAGAACATTAATAGTTTAATTATTCAAACATAATCAAGTTTTATTCTAAATGTTGTAATACAATAACTAAAACCAAATACCTAGCATATGCATTTGTGCTTGATTCTGGCTGCTAAAGTCCAATCTATTGTGCCAGAAAAGTACACAAACCGTGTTAGTTAAAATTCTAAAGTAATCACTCAATAAATGGAGTAAATAAAACTTTCATGTACATTTTTAAGATTTCGACTTGACATGTCATCACTTTTTCAGCAATTTTCATTTGAATGACATATAATGGTATTTGAAAAATGTTAGTTCGTAATCTAAGTACAGAGTACTAAAAAACTGACCTCAAAAGTATGTGGAATTACATCTATTTGCCAAGTTTTATTCAAATTGGTTACCGGAAAGTGCAAACTCGAATTCATCCCCTAGTTCGCCACTATATGGGACTTGACATAGGAGATAATGAAAATCGGTTCTCACTACTCAAAGTATGTTGAGAGAAAAACACCTTGAATTGGAGAATAGCAAAATCAACCATTAAAATAATTGCTCCTTATAATAAAATTTGCGCACTATTTATCAAAATGAATCTTCATGCGTGAACAGCCATCCTTAGAGGAATGTTTTCTTCAAATTTAAATGGGACCACTCCTGAGGTACCCTCTTTCCAACAAAAAAGAATCATCAAAATTGGTTTACAAATACCGGAGTTATTGCGTAACATACATATAAAAATACTTACAGTTGAATTGAGAACCTTCTATACCTTGAGAACCTATATTTCCCAAATATAGATTTGTGAATAGTCTATGGTTGCATGAGGCTGTATGAAAATAACTCATTTGGTACATCAATCAAAATGTTTGTAATCGATGAATGAATTGAAAATTTATCGCAATCAAACGAATATCTAAGTGTAAGGATTTGAAGGAGGATTTAAAATTAAATTACAGAAATTTTAAATTTGCTTTTTTATGGATTATGTAAGAAATAATTTCCAATACATTAACACTTATAATAAATATTTATAAATAAATTAATACTTAATCCAACTAATTCAATTAAACAAATCAATTCATTCAATTAATTAATCGATTCGTAGTTGGCAGTACATGGCCATTGCTAAACTGTCTATGGTCGGGTCAACGATCTGTTTGTTTACTTTTCTGGCATATTGGTTTGACACAGACTATAATAGAAATATTCAAAGTTGGTTAGGGGTATGTTGGTATTGGTCATCTTAAAGATATGTCTCCTGGTGTAGACAGAATCCTATAGTCATTTATTGTTATTATTATTATTAGGGTGACTTCATTCTGGGCATATGTAGCCCCTCATCACTGCGACCATCAGTTGATCTATTGTGATCACGACTAATTACAGTTGAGCCAAGGGCGACAGCATTGAAGAACTGAAGGACTGTCCTGGCTCTGACAGATTTAGTGTCCTCTGGTTGTGGCATGTGCCTTCCCAGTATGGAGCTTCATACGCCCATCAAGGGGTAACATTGGGTGAGAAGATGAGCAGGAGTTTAATCCGCCTTGTGGTAGAATCTACACTCTCTATTCTCTCTCTGCCCAATATTTGACATGTGCTTTGAACAAGCCACAATGTCCTGTTAAGACTCTAGTGAGCATTCTGATGCCATTCCTGTCTAATGACAGAGCGTCTCTACAGTGTTTGGCACTGTAGTCAGCTATCAGGTCTTTTGAATGCTCAAGACCCTTACTCTGTAGCCACACTTCTCGGAAGACGTGTGTGCTCTCGTTCAGCAGAGTGAGCTTTGCCAGGCTTCTTCTTAAAAATAAAACTCCTGCACAGTCCTTCTGTTAGAGATGTCAAGGTTTCGCTGGCTTGGATACCCAGTCATATTGGTATCCGGGAACGAGACAGTAGGTCTTGCGCCAAGGATGCGACCCGCACTGGTTGTCTTTCACTACACAGGTGTTTTGCTCATGACCTAACTTCCTTAGCTAGGGATTGTTACATTTGGACTGACTATGCCAACGTTCAAATGGCATTCCAGTGTAACCTTTGTTTTTTGAGTTTCGCGAAGCGCGTAAAGCGGTCATTTCAGCTATCTGCAGGCTGAGATTAGACCATTCTTATTGCCTAGTGTTCCTTAACAAAATTCGTGTCAGAGACAGCTTTTTGTACGAATGCGGTTTGGTTGAGGGTACCCTAGATCACATTTTCTTGAATGACCTGAGTTGACTTCCTTCTTCCTCCTTATTTTCATCGTCCCTCCCTTTATTAATATTTTGTATGATTATGTGCTCTAATAATACTCGGATAATGCTTTAGTTTCTTGTTTTTCCATGATTGTTTCTTTACCTCAGGTATGATCTCCACCGCAGCGGTCCGCCGAAGAGTTTATTCTAAAAATAAATACCTTGCTGCTGCCTAATTGTTGGCGTTATCGATCAGTATTCATCGACAACAAATATCGAAACTGACACTGGACAAGCCTAGAGCCGCCAAAAGAAAAAACAATTTACGACAACAAATCAACATATTTTGCGTCTTCATTTTCAATAACAGACCCATGATATATTTGAAATAATATAAAAGCAGTGTCGGTGATATTTTCCCGACGTTTGTTGTGATGTTTTAGAGAAATTATTGTGTGATTTGATAATGGCATCGGGGTCTAAAAATGACATAGTTAATAGATTACTTAATGTTCGGCTGGAGGAAGGAGCTGGCGGAGATGAGTTGCCCCCGCAGAACATGCTGCCTTCGAACCAGCACGCGAGGCAACTAGGCCACGCAGTTGACGATGAAACGGGGCAATCTGTGGAGCCTGTGCCATCCTCATCAGCTATAGAAAATCTCCAGCCAACGAACAACACAGGAGGACGATTACACAACTGGCAAGCGACAAAAACAACAGTGAAAGAGCGTCTATCATTCTTATTCAACAACGAAATCCTATGCGACGTTCATTTCATAGTAGGCAAAGAACAGAATCAACAAGTAATCCCTGCTCATAAGTTTGTACTATCCGTTGGTAGTGCGGTCTTTGACGCTATGTTCAACGGCGTTTTAGCTACTAAATCCGACGAGGTAGAGCTGCCTGATGTTGAACCAGCTGCATTCTTACATTTACTGAAGTTCCTTTATTCTGATGAAGTTAGAATCGGTCCAGAGAGTGTAATGACTACTTTGTACACTGCCAAGAAGTACGCTGTAGCAGCTTTAGAGGAGCATTGTGTCGACTTCCTGAAGAGTAACTTGGGCACAGACAACGCGTTCCTTCTTTTGACACAAGCGCGGTTGTTTGACGAGCCGCAACTTGCTGCATTATGTTTAGAGATGATTGACAAGAACACTGCAGACGCGCTAAATGCCGAAGGCTTCACTGATATTGATCAGGATACTTTGAATGCTGTTTTAGAGAGGTAAGAATTTATTTTACTTGCTTTTCACGTTGTCTGAAATGTGTTTTGCTGCCAACTTCTCAGTTGTCGTCGCTTATTTTTTTGTTGAAATCTGTGTTGTAGGCTATAGAAGACGTAATAAATACTAACATGAAGTTTGCATAAAATTTTATTACTTGCACAGAACGTTTTAATATTGTAGTGTAAGCGGATTGTCTATGCTTTGTCTCGAGCACGTACACGTCACATGATTCTGAATTCGGGTCATTTGATATACAATTCGGAACCTAATTGCGTATGAAAAGATATTTCATTTACCTCGACGTTTTAAACGTGTTGCAACGTCCACGGTCTAGAAGGGACTGAAGAGGCAAGTGTCAACATCTGGCCGTGCGAGTTTTTCTAAGTACCCGCACTTGGTCTTCATTATTTATTTATGCACTAGGCTTGTCACTAGATCGATACACAACACTCTCGGCACCCGGCGACTTGTCGGGCGATACTTGATGTTGCTTACATTTGCTGATGACTGGATCTCACGATAATTAAAGCTTGAAACCGGAAACGGTTAGTAAGGCGGTCTGGTTTGCGTCCAGTCGGGTCTAAGAAATGTATGTAACTTTAAGACTACAGTTTTGTACGAAATATCAAATTCTCAATTGAGGCAATCGTTTTTCTTCTAGGCCACTACAGCTCAATTGGACGTAGTTAAGCAAAACGGATCCAATCCACAAATTTATCAAAAAAATGAATCATATGTACCAAACAGTTCCTAAAGTCTAACCTCTAAGATCAGCAAAAAAATCCGACATATAAAAATAAATAAACAACTCTGGAGTTACTTGACATTATAAATTTTGAAAATAAAACAAAAGTGAGAAACACTTTGAAACTTTCAAACTGCCATATCTCGAAAGTGACTGGATGTGCATTGAATCCTTTTTGTTTAACTATGCCCCATTACATTATAGTATATTATTTGCATGTAAAAAACAGAAATATTAAATATCAACATGGAATAGAAATTATATTCCTAATTTCAGTGACTATGGGCAAAGGACCCTCTCCGTCAAAATGAAAATCAAAAAATCATTTATTTATTTATTTATTATTATTACACTCTTCAATTTACAACTAACAAAACAAAAACAATGTGCATAAACCTATACAGATTTTTCGCACATTGTGCAGTCGTCATCTACACAATTTAAAAAATTTAAAACATGTTGAATATTATAGTATGTAATAATATAATTATTATACCTGTAATGGTACTAACTGGGTGATAAATCTGTCATAGATTTCTCATAGATGGCGCTACGACTAAAAAGTCGTTGAAAGACCAAGTACAAAGACACGACGCAAGCACATAGAAAAATTCGTGAGGTCCGTTGGTTCGTTCCGTGGCTTAGTTGGTATAGCGTCTGACACGGTATGCAAGAAGACGTCGGTTCGAATCCGACCGGATCGAAGGAATTTTTTCTGAGTGTTCGATCTTTGTTACAATAATTATAACAAATATTCTATAGGTAAAATAAATTTACGAGTACACTTACACTTGAAGACGTATTGTAATTTTTAAGTTGAATGTCACTATGTTTGACTACCACGGTATTTAATTATTTTTGTGAAATTACTCCACTAGTTTTATAATAATTATCAAATACAAAGATCAATCACACTCTATGCCAAATAAGCCACGGCACGAACTAACGGACCTCACGAATTTTTCTATGCGCTTGTTGCAGATCTTTGTTCTTTTTAACGACTTTTTTGCCGTAGCGCCATCTGTGAGAAATCTGTAAAAGCTTGATTGAAAACGTTTTTTAAGCTACTTTGCGCAAGAAATTCTAGGAGCAATGACTTACAAATAAATGGACGACGGGTCTAATACAAAAACCACGAAAAAAATGTCCCAAGTCAACCTATTCAAACGTAGTGACATGTAAAGGAATATGAAAAAGCTAAAACGTTGAATTTAAATTTGTAATGTCATCGCAGTACTGTCTAATTTTGCTTGCTTCGCTGTCAGTCGAACAAACGAAGACTAAAACGTGAATGACGCTCTGTATACGATTTTAACGCCCTATAAGTTCGGACACTTTTTAGCGCGGACCCGACGTCCATATAATTGTAAGTCAATGTCTAGGAGTATAAAATTTGAATCAAATTGTGGAATCTAGAACCATGTCGTCTTTCAATACATCTTTGTCTAACACGCCGTCTTCGTTTTTGTAATATGATTTTTCAATTAATATATGTACTTTGAATGTAAGACTTAAACTTAGGAAATGATAGTCTTATGCTGCGGAATCGTATTGTAAAAACGTATTCAATTCCCCGTAAAAGAATCGTTTGCCTTAGTCATCGAGTATATAACCACAAATAGAGACGAAATAAGGGCCATTCATCCCTGGCAATTCATCCGGCAAATGGGTCTTATATCACTTTTAAATATCAACTCTCGTTTGCACTGAAATCACAAATTAGAAAGCTGAAATAGTACAACGCCAACAACTGAGCTGTGTGTACGTCTCCGTATATTCCAAAAATATTCTGTATTTATTGTAATAAAGATAATATTTCTAACAATGGAGAGCTGTTCCATTCGGTGTTGTGGGAAAAGCAGCAAAACATCACACAAAGAACCGGAATCACATTTCATCGGTAATTAAATATGTAATTTTTCAATTTTCGTCCGTTATGGCAAAGCTCAATTTAAACTGGTTATTTGAAGTGAAGCAATTGACGACACCCGTCAATTGTTTCGAATTGGAGCTGGCCAATCGAAGCGCAGTTGTCACCGTAATGATATGGCAGAATAGTTTTCAAACAAATTAAATGACATTTCGTCTCTATTTCTGGTTATATACTAGACGACCTTTGTTAAACGATGATCGTGGTTTGGACTTAGTTCATGATTTCATTAAAATGATGAAGATTGTGGAAACAAAATATTGCTCAATCGTCCATAACATCGATCATTACCTGACAGTTTTAATCGCTTCCTAATTCCACTGCTTGCTTACAATCATTATTGTATTACTTCTTTATTAATTAATGCAAAATTATGTTAAATACTAATGATAAATAATGAAAGGAAATGGTGAAATGTTTCTTTAATGGCTTACATCAGACTTATAAAGATAAAGACTTTTTTACCGACTTAAAAAAGGACGAGGATTTTGAAAAAACAAACATAAATAAGCACGCGATTTAAATCCGGTAAAAATAGTTTCATTTACTATGTGTAACAATCGCGAAAACTTAAGAACTCGATAAGGACGAAGTTGTATTGAAATCGACTGCCGGAAAGTGCGCGGAACAGAATTCACCCCTAGTTTGCCACCCTTAGAGATGGAATATTTTCTTCGAATTTAAATGGGACGAATAGTGAGGTACCCTCTTTCCAACAAAAAATAATCATCAAAATCGGAGTTATCGCGTAACATACATACAAAAAACAGTCGAATTGAGAAACTCCTCGTTTTTTGGAAGTCGGTTAAAATTAAAAAATGTAGAAAAAGTAATAATATCACATATTATAGCTACACCTGACATCCTTCAACGTTTACGTTTCTCCGTCCCCCGTCCTGGCCTTCGCCTGCAAAACCGTAAAACATTTTCGCTCCCTATTTGTAGAACTAACCTAGGTCAACACTGTCCACTGTATCGCATGTGTTGTTCTTACAATGGTATCCGTTTTGATTTCGATATTATCTCTGGTTCTGTGGTCTCAACAAGGAACTCAATTAGAAAGTGTCTATATTGTTAACTATACGACAGACTTTGTTGAGTTTTCTTAAAATGCTTGAAATTTAGAGTTAGTGTCACTTATTTAACAATTTGTTACTTATACAGTTAGTTGCATGCTGTTTTGCATGTTGTGTTCATATCGAGTAGGATACATTCTTATCGTGTCGTTGTGTCACTATATAAATGAAATACTTGTAGTTTATATCTGAATTGTATCCAGTTTTGTGAACCGAATAAAAAAAAGAAAAATCAGCATTAAGTCATATTTATATGTTCCACTGTTTCGCAAGGTTTTCCTCAAAGGAGAACAGGCTGACCCCATGTAAGTTGCCGCAAATGCGCCTGTTTGCGAATGACTTTCGCGGTCGCGCATTCGCCCGATCTGTACGCACCCTAACATGTTTTCCTAAGAGTGTAAACCTCTGACGTGTAGGGTTCAATATGTAGTTCACTTTGACCGTTCTGAGAATTACTGCTACTAAAGTATTTCAAATGTACGTAACTCGAGCCACAGGGAATAGAACCGCCTACCTCTCAATAAAGGGCGCTCAAATTAGAGGCTTATAAAAGCGCTGCAGGTAAGGGTGCTGTTGAAATTATAGGCACATGGAATTTGTTAACTTATGTCTAAGGGTGACGGGCGCAGTGGCAGTGCACCTTAGATCTCGGCGATTTAAAGCTCTAAGTTTCACTGCATCTGTTATGGACAGGCGTGTCGCTTACCACCAGGCACAGCCACTTGATATCACCGAATACGAATGCCGAAAGAAATAAATGTAAGCCATACAAATATTCTGCCGTCCATTAACAAAAACGCGGGTAAGTGGCAAATGGTCAAATATCCGTTTTAAACAGGAAAAGATAGAGCACAAAATTATCTTTTAAAAACAGTTAAAATTAGTTAACCTGTTCGACTTATAGGAACTTATAATAAATAATAATAACGCACACACTCAACATAACCTCGCACTAGGGAAACCCTGTGTCGCGGGTGCCATTGACACACACATAGACAACCACAAATTGTGATTTGTGGTTGTCTATGTGTGTGTCCATGGCACCCAAACTCACGAGAGAAATAAATATTTATTTATATTTACAAATATTTCTCCCAGCCCGGGAATCGAACCCGGGGACCTCTGCGTGGCAGTCCGGTATGGTAATCGTTCGGCCACGAAGGCAGTTTGTTATGAGTATGTTAAAAGTTTAAAGATCTATTTAAAAAAATTTATTTTTCTACGAAAGTAAAATGTGGTGAATTATTAAAAAGTATGGAACAAAAATTGTTACTTATTATGGTGTTAGTCATATGGTCCTGTGAGGTTGTTAGTAAGTGCTTTAGAAATAACCCTGTATATTCGGGTAGTCTGTTCTAGAAAAGTGAAAGGTTAAAGACCTCATGTGACAATAAAATCAGCTTTGTAACTTTGGACATCTATTGTTTATCCAACGGCTAATTGTAATAATAAATTACCCAACACTAAAAGTGACTAAAACAATTAAAAATAATGTAATAATCCACGGAATTAATCCATGATAATGTTATGGTATTTATTAAACTGCCAAAGCAACCGCTGGTGTAAAAGGCATGAACTAATAGCCTCTGCTTGACTCGCGGCCAGTCACTTAGTGGAAAATAGCTCTAAAATGTTAAATATAAGAATTATTGCGCCTTCATTTGCAGTGTATAAATTTAGCAATGAAATTTATTATTTAGTCATTTCAACATTGTTTTGCAGTGAAGTCTATGTTTCACCAGGACCCCGATTCAGAACTCTTCGATATTTTAACCGAATCCTTGGAATGGATATCGTTCTCGAATCGAAGGGCGCTTTCCAAGCTATTCAGAATATTCCAGTTATACTTTCTATTCGGATTCGGATACGATATCCTACAGCTTTTACGGGAGTTAGTCGGTGAAATAGATTATAAGAAAAATTCAAAACTTTATATATACATTTTTAAGACTTTAAAGCATTGACTTACAATTATATGGACGTCGCTAAAACCGTCCGCGCTAAAAAGTGTCCGAACTTATAGGGCGTTAAAATCGTATACAGAGCGTAATTCACGCTTTAGTCTTCGTTTGTTCGACTGACAGCGAAGCAAGCAAAATTAGACAGTACTGCGATGACATTACAATTTAAATTCAACGTTTTAGCTTTTTCATATTCCTTTACATGTCACTACGTTTAAATAGGTTGACTTGGGACATTTTTTTCGTGGTTTTTGTAATAGACCCGTCGTCCATTTATTTGCAAGTCAATGCTTTAAAGTCCTAAAATATAGCAATGCAAAACAACACCCACACCTTATTTTTAAAAATAAGAGATTTCCATATTACATTAGAGTATTCCTACGAGAGTGCCGTCGGTATTCGGGTATTGTGAATAAAAATTAAAAGAAGCGTACTATATCAAATCGAATCGATCGACAACTTAGTAATCGACCCCCTGGTGCGATATTATTTAATAATATATAAATAATGCACACACTCAATACCCCCGCATCGTATCATGACACACACAGATAACGATAAATTACACCCAAACGCACGAGAGAAATAAATGAGACCATACAAATATTTCTCGGGACATCTGCACGGCAGACCAGCATGGCAACCGTTCGGACATGCAGGCAGACGAATAATGTAACATTGCCATAGAATAGTAATTTGTAGAGATTTACTTGTTAACTCCTAAGCTAACCTAAAACATGTCCCCCATTATAATTAAAAGTTACGAACTTCTTTTACAGAGATACTCTTAGAATCCGCGAGGCGAAGATCTTCTCAGCCGTGCTTCGCTGGTCTGAAGCGGAATGCATACGCCGCCAAATTCCGGTGACCCCTGGTAACCAACGCATGGTGTTGGGCCGGGCGTTCAACGCCATTCGGTTTCCCTTGATGTCTGTGGAAGAGTTTGCCATGGGGCCAGCACAAAGTGGGCTTTTGGACGATAGAGAAATAGTACAGCTGTTTCTTTATTTCACTGTCAATCCTAAACCCAATGTGGGGTTTCTGGATACGCCGAGATGTTGTATGACGGGGAAGGAGCTGACGGTGAATAGGTTTCCCCAGACGGAGTCCCGGTGGGGCTACAGCGGGACAACTGACAGAATACGGTTCACAGTGGATCAGAGAATCTTTGTTGTTGGCTTCGGGCTTTATGGGTCATATTTTGGGCCTACGGAGTACGAGGTTCATTTGCAGGTTAGTTTCATGCCCCGAACAGGCGGGAGTTACACTACTTAGGAAATGACACTATTTTTCCAGATTGAAATCGCGTATATTCGTTTTTTCCAAACAAACGCATCGTTTCGGGCCCTTTACAGGTCTCATGGTCACGGTTGACTGAGGTGGTACAGTCATCAACCAGTTATGTCTAATATTAATGCAAACTGCCCTATTTTTCACTACACTTATAAAAGTTATTGATTAAATACCTTATTTTTAAATTTTCCAAAGAACATACCAATTTACGCTGCATATGTTTTACTAATAATTTTATTTCAACAATATGCATTTTTAGATTAGAATAAATTAAAACATATTAATTAGTACTGCAGTTTTATGTCTGTTTGTGATTTTTTCATCAGAGGAAGTACTGGATCCCAAACTGGAGTTAGGGAGAAACCATCTTCCCTGTTGAAATAAGGATGTTTTTTAATTTCAATGGCCTCTCGCAGCGTCCTGGGTAGATAACGGACTTCTTTTGCAAGGACCTGGGGTTTGTCAAACTTAATTGCACGTGTAGGTTTATCCATGACATGCTCGCAGATTGCTAACTTGTTTACGCGATGTGACATCAGCTATATGAATAGTCCACTAACAAACTGCGTTATGTGCGTGTATAAAAAAAGCTATAAGCTAAAAAACACAAACAATTATTATTCCGAAAACGGATTTTAAATGGTGCTTTTTTAATTATTTCAAAATTGTGACAAAAAAGATGAAGAAACAAAATCACAGTGTTAAGTTTTTTACTTTATTTCCATTTAAAAATTGAACATAGAGAGTTTAGCAACAGTAATCTTAAAATAACTAGTTTTGTATACTATGATAAATATGGTTAGTTTTGTTATAGTAATAGTAACAAATACAACTTGAATCTAATTTTAATTTTCCTTTAGCCTCTTATATCCACGTCGTCAACCATCAACGTATCTTCATTATTTGTCATTTCTCCTTTTTTGGTCACATTTGATTGTACTTGCCCAATAATATGAGTATACAATTCAAGAATTTTGTTTGTAAACCAATCTTCTCGGAAATGTTTGACGATCAAGTTTTTAATAAATGAACACGAGGGACCTTTCGGATGACAAAATAATAAATACCAAACAAATTAACGGATTTTGCACAACTTTATACTCAATAGAGCAGCGTTTGCAGGTTAAAAAAAAACTAAATGGCCACTTTTGAAAGTGTAAAACTAAGGAAGATTGCGACTTTTGCAAATTTGACTCTGGTTTGTTCAGAATATACCAAGTTTTGGCTCTGTATTGTTGAAGTATTTGAAATTATTTAAAGTACTGATCCATTTCAAGCCATTCGTTAAAAATCATTAAAAACGTCACGTAGCGTAGTTGTTTGATGTTCTTTGACGCGAGTACAAATACTTCGCTTCGTTTGTTTAAATACGGAAAAGTAGTTTCATTTCTTATGTGTGGCGAAAACCTAAAAACTCGACAAGTTACACTACTTATTATACTATGTTAATAGTGTCTGTCTACGCCAATGTCTTTTTTTTATAATAAGTGCACATTTCACCTCCATCGTACCTGATGACGATATAGCATGCACACTTAAATAGTGCCTATTCACTCTCACATTTAAAAGGCTCAAATTCGTGGAGCAAGTCTGCAAGCAGGGAGTTCCGCTTCGTGCGAATCTTTGGAATATCCACAACATAGGCGTGGAACCCCTACCTACATCTAGTCAAACGATGTTGGAATCCATCGCACACTCCGTGATATATCCTTTAGAATACCGATAAGCAGGAAACTCTACGGCGGTGTTTCAAGGCTCTGCAGCTTCTACTAATTCCGAGTCACCTACTCGTATAAACCTCTTGCCACGCTTGTCGATTGAATCCAAGGTGGCCAGTTGGTATTGAGCAGAACCATCCCGTAGGTGGCAATAGTACATACATGACCGGACTTGTGCTTGGTACAGTTGAAGCAACTGTCCCGGTGTGAAGGATACCTATACAAAAAGTATATTTATATGTGCCGTAGATAATCCACCTGGCAACTAAGAAAGTTTGCGGGTCGAACACGACCACATTCTGCTGCGACGGCACCGACGACACCTTCCGGGCGATGTTCAAGGAGCCCGTCGAGATACTCCCCAACACTTCATACATCGCCAGTGCCAAACTCAAGGTCAGTAGTTATTTTTTCCAGTAGTATTATTAAACTTATTTCCCTCCGAAATTTTCACTTTTCATTCGATACAGTTGAATAAATAAATAAAATAAAATCGACTTTATCTGTCTTTTTTGAAGACGGAGTAAAATGGCAGTACATTGCGCAAAAGTGTTGCCCGCTTGCGAGCAGCTAGTGATTTTTTTATATAATATCAAGTGGCGGGACGGACGTTTTATTGTTAAATACATGATGAACTAATCATTAGAACGTCATAACATTCACAATTCAGTCATTTTTACTGACAGACTACTCTTCTTTCTTCTGGGGTTTTGATGCATCGATGTGGCAAACCTTAGAGCTCACGATTATAGGTCGTTTGGAAAATCGAGTAAACATTCTCGAGCAATTATTGTTTGATCAAACGGCATTCGAGTTGTGAACTCGAAATAAAGATAGTTGCCTGTAAGATTACCTTCTTTCATGATGATATTTGTGCGATGGCGCCAAAACTACGCAATAGGCTGCCTAATCATATGTTGAGACGAACGACAATGCCAATTTTAAAAAGCGATTAGGTATTTAATTTATTGACTAGGATAGCACATTATAAAGTCGGCGATTAGTGAATGTATTTAAGAATTGAAATTAAAATTAAGATTTGACATTTTGTAATTAAAACTAAGTATATATACTGTTAAATTAATTTTCACCTCACTATCTCGGAAAGGCTTTCTGAAATGTGCACGCAAAAGCCATTGACCTACCAATAAATGGACGTCGGGTTCGCGCTAAAAAGTGTCCGCACCTGTAGGGCGTTAAAATCGCATACAGAGCGTCAATCGCGCAATAGTCTTCGTTTGTTCGAGTGACAGCGCGGTTGTCAATCATGCAATACCAATAATAATAACTTGTAAAAATTACTGCAGTAAAGTGTGAAAACATGGTTTTGTATCATATTTTCACTAAACAAATATGTTGTGTTATCATAGTTGTCATTTAAAAGTGTTATATTGTACAGTTTTATAGTATTTAATTTATATATAACTGAATCGTAAATATAAATTACAAAAGCATACGAAATAATGAAATAGCTAACTGTCCTTTTTCTACTCATTGCATGCGCAAAAGATGGAAAGAAACCCATTACGTCAGTTTCAAAAAGCTTATATAAACTTCTTGGTCATTTTCAATTGTTCGAACTACAAGCGATTTAAATACTTAAAATAAAGAAATTGTAGACTTGCTTAGATTTTAATCCTATTTTTAAAATGATTTTTTTATTAAACGTTAGCTAACAAAATATTGTTGTACTCATTTTACGGCTTGGGATTACCTATCCGAAGTCAGAAAATACATTTGCCCGAAATAACGTAAAGCTCGAATTTTCATAATGTGTTTTTACGAAGATTACAAAACAGAAGTTAATTTTGTCTATCATCAAAATTCCTCGAAAGCGTAACGGTTTTGTTATAAATCGGAATTACGGATATTTGAGTTTACGTTTAGTTAAAATATTGGTACATTTCTTATAGTACACGCTTATTTTCACATTTGTAGTAATAATTGTATGTATGTATCTGCCCAACTCTTTATTATACCTTTAAGTGAATTTGTACAAAATTCGACATGATAATATATATATAAAAATTTATTAATATTTACGAGAAAGGCCATTATTCTTGTGTTCAAGTAATTTTCAGTCGAAGCTAAATATGGTGCATTTTGTTAAGTTTCCAGTAAAAGCTGAATATGGTGTTTTTGGGCCCTTCAATTGTTGTAAGCAAATTTAGGCAGTACTGCAATGACGTTACAATTTGAATTGAACCTCGGACATTTTTTTCGTGTCCATTTGTTGGTAGATCAATGGCAAAAGCGTCTTTTCTAAGCTAGCGTGGAAAAGGTTTTTGAAATTCGAACTTGACGATGGACTGTGGTGCACCTAACTTTTTCTTTCGATAAAAAAAAACTATATTGTTGTAGTTCAACTGTTTTCCTTTCATCTACCCTTTTCCTCCTTATAATGAGGTGAGAAAAGTTGTGTGTTTCGCTCGGCAGCAAAGTTGTTTCGCGTCTCACGCCCTGAAACCCTCGCTACGCTCAGAATTCTAATTTGAATCAATCAATTCAATCTTAGGGTGATATTCCAAAACTCTACTCATTACTCAAGTCAGGATTTGAGTATGATTCAAAGCACTAGAAATCATACTCGAGTCCTTGCCATTAGGGTCGTATTTCCAGTGCTTGACATCATACTCAAGTCTGCTCAAATCCTAACTTGAGCATTGAATAGAGTTCTGGAATACGACACTTTGACGCCTTCGTTTGCTCGGGTTCAATACAAGAACTCGCGTCAAACAACAACTTTGCGGCCTTACATAACAAATAACTAATAATTTTGTAAATTGTATGCCGTAAAATTGGCAATACGTATATACGTAATCAATAAATGGTTTCATACGAAGATATATTTAAATTTTGCCTCTCTTTAGGGCACCGACTCGTACTACGGCACGAAAGGCCTGCGACGCGTCACCGTGGATTGCAACAACGGCGAAAAAGTCGTATTCCAGTTCTCTTACGCCGCCGGCAACAACAATGGCACCTCGGTCGAGGACGGACAAATACCCACTATCATATTCTACATTTAAACGGCTATTTGGACACAGGTAAACATCTTGCTCAGACTAAATACGAGGCAATGAAGATATCCGTTAAAACGGCTCAATCGCAGAATGTCCACTTCGCAAAACATTTTTTTTAATGATACAAAGTGACGGGGCGAACAAGTCGTGCGCCTGGTGGTAAGCGACACGCCTGTTCATAACAGTTACAGTGTTTTCCAGAGCTTGAAATCGTAAAGATTTTAAGGACACTACTACACGCTACTGCTCCTGTCATCCTGAGACATATGTTGAGAAATGCACCACCACCAGCACCCTTACTTCAAAACCGATACGCAGTAAAGCTCACAATACTGCTACTAAATATGTACTGGATGCGATGCGTCTATTTCTCTTACTCATTTACTTGCTTGCTTTATATTTAAAACTATAAAACAATTTAAAACCTTGGGTATTTAGACTTTCAGAAACGATACGCAAAATATGAAAGTAGTTTCAATAAAATAACTTTTTCAATTAACATCGAATGTAAAAAAAGTCACCTTTTGTTGATTCTTTTGTTGAAACAGTGTCAACTGCTTCGAGTGAGTGGGGAAATATATATTGGGGAAAAGGGATATTTTGCGGAAGGGACATTTTGCTCAACAGACACTGCGAAAGGGACATTTTGCGAAGTGGACATTCTGCGACTGAGCCGTCGAAATTATCTGTTGAAAATTGCACTTTACATCAATGACACAATGTTCTAATTCGCGAATTCAAACAGTGACAGCTTAACTGTAGTCAGTCAACAATTAAAACCGTGCCACGTTTTATACGCGATATTTGATCGAAAGATTCTAGCTTTGAATTAATTATACTAACAATATTGCGTTGATCACCATTTTGTAATTATTATACTCCTATTCAGTTAAATCAAGATATCCGACTTGTATGCCAGATTGAAGCGACATAACCGTCTTAACTCGAAACGCAGCATGAAGTTCAGAGTAAAAATTTCAAGTTTAATCCTTGCAAAAGTCATTTGCGACATTAAATTCAGGCAGAAAATTTCGTGAAAACATTGTAATACTTGCATACGGTCGAGTGCACGTTAAATATTGACTCTTAAGATTTAAATTAAACTTTATAGCCTTTACGACAAGAACAGTCTTAAAGTGTCAAATTTGATGTGCACTTGACTTTATTTTTCAAGTAAATTGATGCACTAGTTTTATATTTTGCGTCGGCCTGTTAAAAGTTCAAAACTTTTTTGGTGATTATAAAATATAGGACTATCACATGTTACTAAAATATAAATCACCAAATCTCTTACTAGTTTAGGTGATTCAGATAACTGATTAATATTGAATTTTGTAAGCTGTGATTTCGTTTCTTTTTGACAATGATTACAATTTAAATTCACCAGTCCAATTAGGGTGTTTCCACACTAGTGAAACACTGTCGGCTTGAGCCGGTCAGAAAATAACTTTACATCTATGCAATAAAGGCGAAAATAACGTTGCGTTTTTCTCATCCCGTCGGACCACCGACACGAAACACACGTCTTTTTCGCTCGTTCATTTACACAAACAAGAATAAACTGTAATCTTTCTCAAAACGAATAACTAAAGGTACTAAAAGTACTAAAAGTACCAGGTCGTACAATATCCATGAAGTTGGTGCCAAAATTTGAAAACAACACTTTGCAATTCAAAGCTAGAGTGAATAGGTTTTTAGACAAACGAGAGTGTAGCCTATTTTATATAAAAAAAGAAATTTTTCGTTCAAAAGTACAGAGTAAACTTGTTTATTTTTTACATCGGCATCATAGACACCCTTGTACAGTACCAGAAAGTATATATTACACATCGAGCTTTAGAAAAAGACGATCGACTGATTTCGGTGTTTTAGAGCTTTGTCACTGTCACTCATGACGAGGGGCGGTTGAAAAGTAATCTAATTAAGTATCAAATAATTGACAACCACTTTTAATTATGAAATGTACATCGGAAATACATTTATTATATTTGTTACAAAGGGTCAGTAAACGTTAGAAAGAATTTGTTAAAAAATAAGTTGTTGGTCATTTTTAAATATTATGCTTTTCTCTTCCGCCATTTTGTCCATGCAAAACGAAATATATGACACCTATACAAAAGAGTGTCACCAATTTTGAAAAAAGAATAAACAACAAATGCGTCACGAAGTGACCAGAATTATTTTTGAATTGTAAATAATAATCAAAAGAGACTACTTTTATCGCATCGTGCGAGACGCAAACGGCGCTCTAGAAACCCGAAGGTAGCCGATTATGGCCGATTCTATCATCGGGGTACTAGTTGTAGACTAGGATTCCACCCCTAAGTTGTAGATATACCCAAGATTCGCACGAAGCGTTACGCTTTCACATTTATATGGCGAACGGCTAGTGAAATTCCCTACCTGCAAATTTGTTCTCTGAACGGTGTAACTTGGGCCTTTTTAAGACGAGAACGAATAGGCATTATGTAGCTGTGCATGCCCCATCGTCGACGTCATGCTCTATGGCCACGCTACCCAATTTTTATTTTTATTATTACATATATTACCCGTGTACTCTACGGCTGACGTACATGATGTACATGTACAAAGAAAAAAAACTTTTACGGTGGCGTGGCTACGGAGAATGCTCTACAGCCACGCCACTTATTAATACTTGTAGACGCAATTTTAGCAATTTTTCTGAATGTACCCAATGTACGAACGCTGTGCGTTATGTACATATAAAACAATAGGCGAAATGTAAGTGAATTCTGCTACATTTCAATTGTCAAATTTTATAATAATGAAACGCCTTCGTATTCAATCTTACAAAATATTGCATTACAATATTGCTCATACATTAGTGATAGGCGCTTGACAAACAAAATATTGAATGAATGAACACAGAGCGTGACGTCATCGTCGACCTCATTGTCATCGTCACTATTCATCAACTGAGATGGAGGTTAAATAAGTGCGCATACAATAAAAAAAAGATCTTTTTTTTCTATACCTCGATCTTCTTATCGTAATCGATGGGATACAATATAATGCTTGCCATCGTGGTAAAAGAACTTTCCAATCGACGTAAGGTACTCGCCGATGGTTACCCAAGGTGCGTCAGAGGTACGGAAAAGGAATTCGTGTTCTCCATAGCTCGATGTGTGAGGCCAATCTTTGCGACATGGTATTGTGATACTTACTTTGCGTTGAATAACGTCTATTGTTACATAAAATATAACTCAATAATGTGACGGGATTGATTGCTACAGTCCGCCATTAATATACCCAAGAAAACGCGTGTCTGAATCTAGTTCTAGTGAAAAAAATTGATAATAAAGAGGCTTGTTAAGTTCACAATAAACTTAATATAAAAATGTTTTTAATGTTAATATTATTAATTTATACAAACAAAGCTTAACCCAAAAATATTTGAACAGTTTGCACAAAAATGTAAAAACTCAAATTATACTTTAGTTTTTTTTTTTTCATAAACAGTCCAGTAAAGTTTTCTAAATGTTCAATTACAAGTTAGAAATATCAATGGTAATGTTCTGGGTCTACAATCAAGGCTAACTCTCATCCATATTTTACATTACGGCAACTGTTACAAATGTCATGGTAGCAAAATACTGCAGATAATCAGGCTGAACTCGCGATAGGCAAATTTGAATGGCAATTCAAAATTAAGATGTTGCAATTCTTTTTTTGTCATTACATGATAAAACATGATCAAACCTTTTTCTTAGGAAATCACTACACTTACCTACACGGAATTGTATTAAGCCGGTCAGAAAAATCTGTACTTTTCGCGTTATCGGTCGGAGTTACTACACTCTGACACATCTGGACATCTTCAGGGATCTCAGGTAGGTCAAGGACGAGAAAATCAGATTACATACAGCTCAGATTACAAAACAATAGGCAAATGGAGCATATGCAACAAACGAACTTGTCATTTATTGTGTGCGTGACTACTAGGCAGGGCACTGTAGGGACATGCGCATTTGTATGGGTATAAGATTGCCAGATGCTGCGAAATAACTCCCGTAATTTTTTCTGCTTTCTATAATACTGTTACAAACTGGAAATGTTATTTTGCAATATAGGTACTTAAATGGTATTAGGATGTCAAATTATATGCAATATAAGTTAATATTTAATTGTTATTATTTGATTTGCATCACACAAATGAAAGAGTAAAATTAATGTATTTTAAATTGGAAAACTTTGATATTTCAAAATATTTATTACAATCACAGTTACACAATATCATAATAACCTTTATTTTGTCTATATATTTATAATACTACCATTTTGCGTCTATACATCAAGCATTCGTTCCTAATTTTGATATGTAGCGCAATCTCATCATCAAATACTTTTATAATAAAATTTTTATTAACTTTGTAATTAATTCCATAGAAGTGACGACTATGTTCTAATTTGACAAAAATTGTTTGCTTCCCGATGAAACTCTTTAGTTATGTATGTTCATGACTTCTGTTTCTATTTCTGTATTATAATATTTTTTTTATTTTATTGACACGTTTTCTTACAAAATCACTCTGTTTATGATATGTGCACATAACAATGAAAATTCTTTATATCTATGGGGCTAAAACTTTAGCTGTTTTTGAACATTTTCTTTTATGTAGTTACATTATGGCGATTAGAGATTGGTTTGAGAATAATTTAGATAAATCTGAGTTACCTAAAAAACAATTTTGGATCGCTGTAACGGGACCATTCTCTGTGTATATACATGCATTATTTAATTTCTATATAAAAGTATAAATTATTCGATGCTCCTATCACCCATGCATATTTACATAATATAAGGAAACTCATTTCGATATAAACTGGCAACACACACGAATTTATGTCGAGGTTTTGTGTTCCGAGTGTATCTCAAAAAAATATCGGGTAAATAAATTACAAAACAGATAAATTAACAATAGTTCCCTGTGAATAGATATTCCATCTTATTTTATTTTTATTTTGGGGACAACTTTTACAATGTTTAAAGACACAAGACGAAGACAAGGCGAGAAGAATTTTTAAACATAAAATAACTAATCACTCGTGACGTGCAAACAGTGCGACGCTGAGCTTAGTACTGACGCGAGTTTGTATTCGCTTTTGAATTTGTATTTGCTTTGGCGGCTTCACTTTCGTGTTCGGTGCGCTCCATCTGCCTATGTTTTGTTATCAGAGACATACAGGCTACTTGTTCTGTACTGGGGATCATTTTCTGCTTCGACATTTCCATATTTAACAAGGGAGAAACACTGCAATGGTTTCCAGTTGCCTTCTGCACCGAACGTTTTTGGAGTTATTCTAACCCCGACCAGTTCCCCGGTCGGGTGAGTGGTTATACCACTCGATCATCAAAGCCCTGTCTGTTATCTAGAAGGGACCACTCTAACGGCGCCCCGCAGGTAGGGTTGACGATTGGAACGGATCAGATGATAATTCCGTTCTCACCTTACTGCTTTTTTTTAAAAAAAAAACTTTCTGACCGGCTTACTCTCCCGTAATAAGTGTGGTGACACCCTTATTCCGTACCAGAAAATGATATAAAAAATCTATTTTGGGCGTTTATTCAGTTTACGCACAAATATCGTAATTAAAGTGTTAAATAATCGCTTATTGATTTGTTTGTAAAAAAAAAGCCGGCACATGTGAGACCAGAAAAATACCATACCTTCCTCTTTGTAAAAAAGTAGTGTGTACTAAAACATATCAAATTACTAAAACTACATTTTAAGCCGAAACAAACTTAGTTGTATGTCAAGGTATGACGCTCCAGCGAGTCACACAATAAAAAGAGTGTTGACTCCATACACGGAGTAAGAGAAATTTCTTTTGTTAAAGAACGCAGCTAGTAGTGCCTGTACAGAACTACCTCCGTGGCCGAACGGTTACCATGCTGGTCTGCTACGCATAGGTCCCGGGTTCGATTCTCAGGGACGGGAGAAATATTTGTATGGCCTACAATTATTTGTCTCGTGAGTTTGGGTGTAATTTGTAGTTATCTATGTATGTGTCAAAGGCAGCCGCGATTCAGTTTCCCTAGTGAGGACTAAAGGGGAAAAAAACGTAAAATATTCCTACACAAAAAAATACTTATTTTTGTGATTGCTACACAATATTGTATTACGCAGGCACTATAGTATCGCATTAATCTCTTGTTAGAGACACTGTACTAATACAATGACTTTATGTTGGCAGTTGTCGCTAGGGACGCTGCAAAATATATTCGTACACAAAATGTTACTTCTTTAGTGTTACAGCTACTCATAATGCTACTTGCGTTAATTTTACCATTTTTTAGATGTAGATACAATGTCAAGAGCACGTCAAGCTTTACACTTTGGATTTAAATTAAACTCTATTCCGCTTATGATAATAACGGATTCTGTTTATGATAATAGCGGATCAGGCTAATAATAACAACAGATTGCGCTTATGATTATAATTATAAGCCCGTGGGACTCGTCTACTTAGGGTGACGGGCGCAGTGGCAGTGCCTCTAAGATCTTTCCAAAGCTTTAAAGCTCTGCTATAGACAAGCATGACGCGTAACTCCAGATGCGCAACTTGTTCGTCCCGTTACTTAGTAGAAAAAAGTTTTCCGCTTAGGATAATAACGGATTCTGCTCATGATAATAACGGATCCCGCTCATGAAAACAATGTATTCCGCTTATGACAATAACGGATTCCGCTGATGGTAATAATGGCCGAAAGTCCAAAGTAAGAAAGTCCAGCTTGAAATGCTTTTGATTGTACGTATCGTGCGTTATTATATAATTTGGCTTCGTGGACATAATATGTAATAATTATTTGCGAGTTTCGACCTACGCAAACGTATTTATATTAAATTGTAGGAAAATTTATTAACTCTAAATCGAAAAAGTAATAATAATTTTCATTACTTGTTAGTGAGGCTTGCATGAAACACTGTTTAAAATGTTTAGTTTTTTTTCAAATGCTTGACTTAAAAAAAGTTGCTTAAATCCTGTTTTGTTTTTGGATCAGTTTGCGCTACAAAAGCGCAAGTGCCCTTGCCCAAGTTTCGTCCAAGCCTCAAAAGAGCCTATTCAAGCGCGTCTTTATTATAATATCAACATTTCGTCTCAAATAATAACTGCCATACGAATCTACAAGACAAACGGTTCCTAATTTGTGATGTGTTTGAATGGGCTTCTGGAATACACAAACCTACATTCAATCTGTGGCTGTGGCAAAGAAAAATGTCTTGAAAGTCCACGACCTATAACACTGAATTAATTTAATCCAAAATTATTGGCCCGACCGGATATAGTCCACAGCGAAAGTATGTGACGCCACTAGTTGCATTCTTTTTTCTTAGATTGGCCAGTGCTATAGGTCAATTGGTGAAATATGTCGGTTTGTGCTTTCCTTGTTTATATTCTTATATAAATCTTCTAGATGAATCTGTGATAGGTTTTGTATGGTTGTAAGAGTGAGTCCGAAAACAGAAAAATTGGGACCATTTAACTAACTGGGGCTTGAATTTGCAACACTTTTTTTAATAAACTGTAGCCATCCTTTAAATTTATCTTCAATGACTGTTAATTTTAGTCCTTATGCTAAGTAGAGTTAAATAATAAAGTAAATATCATAATTATTAGTTCAACTTCACCTGGGCCGGATTTACAGTTTGTACGCACGAGACCTTGTGTGTGGAGAGGTAAATCCTGAACATTAATTCAGAGAATTCTGTTTTATAAAGTTAACGTGTGACAAAATTAGGTCCCTGGTCATTTTCTGTTTCTCGTCGAAATATTAGAGTGAGATATTTTTTAACATTTTTTCTTTATATAAATGTTGTATGAAACTTAGTATTAGGTCACTTTATTAATTATATATTTTTTCCCATTGACTTACAAATAAATGGACGACGGGTCTAATACAAAAACCACGAAAAAAATGTCCCAAGTCAACCTATTTAAACGTAGTGACATGTAAAGGAATATGAAAAAGCTAAAACGTTGAATTTAAATTGTAACGTCATCGCAGTACTGTCTAATTTTGCTTGCTTCGCTGTCAGTCGAGCAAACGAAGACTAAAGCGTGAATGACGCTCTGTATACGATTTTAACGCCCTATAAGTTCGGACACTTTTTAGCGCGGATCCGATGTCCATATAATTGTAAGTCAATCTTTTTTCCCCATTGAATTGACAAAATGACTAAAAATAGCAATACTGATTTATATATCGCATCTCAGTTCCAAGTTTAAAAAGATCAAAATTAAATTTTTTCTAGTCAAATTATTTCCAACAAAGTATAGAATTAAAATTTTTATTTAAATACATAATGTTATATGCTTGTGTTCATATATTTTCTTGAATATGAATCTATTAAGATTGCAATTGAAAAACATGAGCATATTCTAACTTAATTTTGTTTTGCTTTAAAAACTATGTTCTTACAGTTGCAATTGTTGTCACTGTCCATCCTGTTCTGCTAATTTGTATAAAATAATGTTATAATTTTGTTTTTGTATATAATCATTTTACTCTTACAAAAGGCCAAAATACAAAATACAAGCAAGATAAAGTGAGGCATAGGAAATTATCTATTTTGTCGTATCAAATCACGTGTTTATTTTTTTTTTTTTCAAGCTAACCAACGTTTCGGGCCTTTTTCACGTCCCATTGTCATGGATGGCGGTTGAGAGATCACCATCTCGAAGTCAATTTGCCCGAAACGTTGGTTTGTTTGAAATCGATTTAGATGCGAAGAAATAGTTTCTTTTCGTATGTCTAACAAATGCTAAAACCTAAGAACCCAATACGTAAGTCACGGCAGCTTGATGCTCGGTATTTTGGCCTTTGAATGGCAACTGATGTATTTATTAAAGTAACAGTTTATTTTCACAAACTTATCCGTAAAATATTATAATATTTATAGGTATGGGAATGTCAGGAATTGAGCTGTGTATTGTTTAGGCATAAGAATGTATTTTTAAAAGATATTTTGTATAGAAACGGTGGGTAATAGTCGTCAATAAAAGTTGTAACATTATTGGCCTTTTAATTAACCCCTTTTATTGTTTTTCGTTACAATTTGTACGGGAAAAGTAACAGTTCAAATTTGAATATTACTGCGTTATTTACAAAGCCACCTTACGTCGGGGGTTTAAAAAGACGCCCTTGTTTCAGGTTAGTTTTCTCTACCTAATTTTGGAGGCAATTTTTATTACTTAAGTATTCGAGTATATGGTCGTAAAATAATCAATATTATTTCAGATGACTACACTCTAATATTAAATATTACTTTTTGACAACATTGTAGAATAGTTAAATATTAAAAATTACTACCAACGTTAGGTCAGAAAAGTAACCTGAAAATTACTTGGTTACTTCCGCCAGAGAAGCTTAACTATCCGTGACCCAGGTCATTCAAATACTTATTTCAATTTTTTTTTTATCAATATTTGGTTTATTCATATTCATATCCAATTCAGGGAGTAGACAATAAAACGACACTACAAAACAGGGTTTTCATCCCGGGAATCTAGGTCCCGAGAACTTGGTACTTGGTGCAACGGGCTGGTATCCGCTAGGTCCCGAGAATGTCCGAGACTTTTGAGACAAGTCACTTAGGGTTGTATTCCAGAACTCTACTCAATACTCAAGTCAGGACTTGAGTATTGCAGTGAGTATTGAAAATCATACTCAAGTCCGTGCCATTAGGGTCGTATTTCCAGTGCTTGAAATCATACTCCAGTCTGCTCAAATCCTGACTTGAGCATTGAGTAGAGTTCTGGAATACGACCCTTAGACAGTATTAAAAAAAATTACTAAACCAGCAGTCATTTTTTTTCCAGTTAGCGAGATGCCACTCGGGCGTTGCGTCATCGCAACTGTGATATACTACATATAAATTAGAACGACACGCCACACGGTGCGTCGTTACAGCGCGCGTCGACGGAACAGGTCGTGTGGCGCTCCGTCCGTTGAAATAATAACATCTATTCTATCTAATGGCCTCTCCCTTACATGGGCTTATATAATCTGTAGGTAAATTTGTTGTAAAGCGAGTGTTATTCAAATATATGATATTATTAAAATGTTTATTGGTAACCTATCACAAACTCGAATTTCTTTTTTCCGAAATAAAGTTTGTTCGAATTTTCATTATCGAAACCGAATTATAACGAAACCGTTGTTCTTTCAGGATATGTTGGATGTTTATCGCAAAGACAGGATTAGGTTCGGTTAGGTTAAGTTAGGTTTAAAAGAAAAACTTTTCCTCTCAAAATTCTTTTGAGGTTATGAACTTTCTAGCAAACGTTATTTCTGGAAAATGTCATTTCGGACTTATGATAGGTAATCATGTTTATTGTATTCTTAGACGATTTCTTTGCCTTTTTAGTTCGCTTGAAAATCGCATTGGAATTAATCGATACAATAAATCGTTAGATCATAATGCACTTGAATCGATCTTCATAAAAACCAAATCGTAAAGTGTATCCTTAGCGTTAGAATCCACAGGTGTTTAATAAAATGTCGTGTTTTGTCTAGGTATATATGTATATATAAATCCCTGGCCTATGAGTACGGAAACAAACTTTCAAAATGGTCTCGTTTTTCCGGGAAAAAAATTCGAGACCGCACCAACCCCGATTTTTTTCCCGGGACGCGAAAATGCAACTAGGCTGAAAACCCTACTACACCTTCACAGGTTATGTGAGGCAAGTCAAAGTTTAGAGACTCGTAATTTTTATTAAGAACATCCCATCTCGTTCTGCCATTTTACATGTCTGAAGGCAAGGTGTTTGGACACCGGCTTGGTTTTCTCGATCGCTGTCAGTATCTCGGAAACGTTCAATCGGTCCTTGCGGTTGAGGAGGTTACCTTGAAACATATATCTCCGTTAATCTGAAGCTGAATTATCTAATTATTTTCTTTGACAATTATCCATGCAGTTTATAGTTTTGTTTCTTTAAGTTTTTGACTAAAAATGACAACTGACAAAAGTAACTATAGTACGAAGAACATTAATTGGGAAAACGATTTGGTTTGACGGTTTTTAAGATTGACATTTGACACGATTGGATAGCTAGCATTATGTTACTCCAATTAATTTAATAATTATCAATAATATATATTTATCAAAATAATTATTGCGATAATTATCATACTAATTTTAGTAATAATTATCATTACGAATCCCGTTTTGGAGTACCATAGTTTCTTACCTTTGCTATTCATGCTGGGTAAAATCTTCCTGACGGTCGTCATAAGGGCCTCCTTACAAACCAGTTTAATATCGCTACCAGAGTACCCTTCTGTTTTCGAAGCCAACTCCTGGAAGTCTACTTTAGGGTACAATTCTATATTCTTCGAGGATAGAAACCTTTCAAAAAGCTCCGTACGCGTTTTGAAGTCCGGTAATGGTATATGTATACGTTTTTCCAATCGACGTAGCATTGCAGCATCTATATCCCTGGAAAATGAGTATGTCACAGAAAAAGGAGGAATACTGTGTCGTAGGCTCAATTTACACTGCCACGGGACGGAAACGAAAGTTCGTAAAAATAACATAATAAATTTAATGTCAATGGTGAACTTTATGAATGCTGGTGTCGTACAAAGTAGATATGAGCCAAATAACAAGTTGCGCGTCTTCCGTAGCTACCCTATCGTGTTTAGTTTGTACATTACACAATATCATTACAAATTGCTTCCTTTTCACGACAATGTAAATTGAGGACTCATTCTTATGCTTCAAAGTAACGAATAAGGCGTTTTTCTACGATTTTTAAGGTTTTGCGCACGATCATAACTTACAAAAGGGAAAATAGCGGACTTGCGCACAACCACGTAGAACTACGCGTATTGTTGGCGCACGTGTCACGCGACTAAGCACTTCTACTGTATTTATTGTTTTGTGGAATGAAAAGTACCAGGGGGCCTACCACAACCTCTTAAAACAATATTACTTTAACCTTACATTGTTTTTCGTACCATGACGCGACTTTGACATTAAAGTAATATTGCTCTAATAGCAAATTTAGCAATCTTAAAATAGTTACACAGATGCTGTGGAAACAATATTATTTTCAGTTTTATTGCCTTAATATTTGTATTTGTAATTTGTATATTGATTTGTAATCATTAGAAGTTAAGTTGAACTTATTTATTTACATATATCTCTTCAATATTTTGTTTATTTTTTTATTAATAGCACAGGAAATAATTTCTCGTAAAATAAGAATATGCGATGTTTATTTCGTAAAATTATGACAGCGCCATCTATATGCTCCTTGGCGAAACTAACAGTTGACACTAGAATAGTTCCGAATTCACAAACGTGACTTTACAAGACTCAGTTTGTTTTATTGATTTTTCTTTATGAAAATGCGGAATAATAATTGAAAACAACGTAATTTTAATAGATTTCATTATTACATACTTTTCTTTTTTTGGCAGTTAAAATTCTCTGAATGTAAATAACGTTAAGTACTTTAGCAACAAGCTTACTTTAAGCTTACATTGAAATAAGATTGTATTTGGAAAGGTTTGGTAGGCCCCCAGTAGTCAACAAAGTTAGAAGTACCATGGTACTGACTGGAACGGTCACGTGAAGAAGAGAAAACTCAAACTTACCAAGGCATATTAGAATTGGCCAATAGAAACACGATCCCCTCCCTTTCGTTGAAGCCGTCCAGCTCGGTCAAGAGCTGCGTCTTGAGCCGCCGAGAGGCCTCGTGCTCCCCCGGCACTGATCTGTCCGAGGCTATCGACTCCAGCTCGTCGATGAAAATTACCGACGGGGAGTAGTAAGTAGCCATTTCGAATAATACCTGAGTGAACAAAAGGTAATGAGGAAAGTTTCTTGGCTTTATAAGACTAAAGTTCGAGTCCGGCCGCATCGAAGGAATTTTTTGTGTTCGATCTTTGTATTGATAATTATAACAAAACTAGTGGAGTAGTTGCACAAAAAATAATTGAATCGTGTATTTCTCTATGTATATAATACAAAGATACGACAACAAGCACATAGAAAAATTCGTGAGGTCCGCTGGTTCGTTCCGTGGCTTAGTTAGCATAGCGTGTGCCACGATTTGCTAGATAACGTCGGTTCGAATCGAAGGAATTTTTTCTAACTGTTCGATCTTTGTATAATATAAATTATAACAAACTAGTGGAGTCATTTCACATAAAAATAATTGAATATCAATTCAATAAAAATTTAAATAAGATTTTTATTATTTATAAACTGTTCTTTAGCTTGCTCATGTCCGAGCAACACACGTCAGTGTCTCTACATATCAAAATTAGCAGATACCTTGACTATCTTCTCCGAGTCTCCACGCCACTTGGTGATGACAGTGCTGCAAGCCACGTTAAAGAACGTGCAGCCGCTCTCAGCTGCAACCGCTCGCGCCAATAGCGTCTTGCCAGTACCCGGCGGACCGTGCAGAAGGATACCGCGCCATGGCTCCAGGAGACCCGTGAATACTTCGGGGTATCTGAAAATTTTAAACTGTAGTAACAATCTTCTCAAAGTTATCTTCTATCCTATCCAAAGAAAGTCGATCTTTCGAAGAATCTTCTGGATCTGGACAGATCGCCTTATTGATGGGTATTCAAAAATAGATGAAGTAATGTGATAACAATAAAATTGTATTTATTAATATTTTTAAACTTTGGATTCCTTTATGATGAGCCAGATGGTGTCGAGAAAGGCGCGTTTAGCCGTTAATAATAATAATAATAAGAGCTTTATTTATCTACATTAAATAATAATTTAGCCTTAAATAACATAATCTGAAGTTACACATGTAGATAAAAAGGCAAGTCTCAGCTTGAGCTGTTTTTCAGACTTTACCTTTTCGGTGAAACGCTACATTTAATTCTCTAATATTAATAATATAATAATTCTGACGTGTCTCGACAAGCTCCAGTAAAATGACTAAAGTATACAATTTAAACTTAAAGCTATGATTACATTGTCATAATGGTACCAAATCCACATAAAATATTTCATTTCAAAATACATGAAGTATAGATAAGGATGAACTGCACACATAATAACAATAAATAGTGAAAAATTATAATATATATTATATATAAATAAATAAATAAATAAAGAACAAAAATAAAAATATGCATAAATCCGCTAGACGACACTACATCCAATTACTAGCAGAACTTTGCTTTGAAAGTAATCAAAGCCTGCATTTCCTTTTGAAAGTAATCGCGGCGTGATGATCCCAACGCTGATGTAGGTATTGAAGTGACTATTGGTTATGGTAGAAAAAGCATGAAAACGAGCTTTATGCACTGTGATGTACTGTTACAGACAGAATACAGTGTGGTAAGAAAGCAATGTGATGTGGAAAATGATTTAGTGACCAGAAAAGAGAATGCGTCGATGCCTTGATCTTGTGGATAGGATGATGTTAGCAGATTGACGGCAAAAATATTATAGCGAATATGGATAGAACAATGGAAAGATAGACCTCGATGTAAATATCTCGAGTCCATCTTTCTATCGATCTCGAATCTACTGTAGTGAGTTGCGTGTGGACAAGACGAAAAAGGTTTACCAGGAGCGCAGGGAATAGGAAAGTATTCCTGTCTACCACTTACCTCAGTGGTAGACAGGCGTGGTGTATGTAATAGTTTTTATTATTTACCTAACACTCGTTGCGTACTTAAATGACATAGTGATGTATAAGTAGGTATTATGTATTTAATCGTAACATTTTGTAACGGTTATTGGTAGTAAAACTTGACTTCATCTATATTCAGGGTCAACATTTACCTGACTGGATAAATCACAGATTCCATCAACAAACTCTTTGCCTCAGTCAGGCCCTTGATGTCATCCCACGATACTCCCGACGGTCTTATGATATCCTGGTACAGCATCTCTATGAGCTCTCTTTTCTCTTGCGAAGCGCACCTCATAAGGCCGGAAAGAGGCTTTGTTAAGACGGATGGCGTAGAGTCTTTCAATATCGGTTTGCTGTCGATCACAGTTGGGCTGGGTTTTAGATATACTTCGTCCTGAAATTAATGAAATATTTTTATATCTGACAACGGGACAGGTAATGTTAATTATACATTAAGAGAGTCACCACATTTATCGATAAGAGTTGAGGCGATTGTGTTTTACCACACTTGTCGCATTCATTCAATTCGAACTCGATGCAGTCTTTCGGGTATCAATGCCGTTGTTCAGACTGAGACATAAAATGTGGCTTCGCACTTCTGAAGTCAATCGGCCGTAGCTTCGGACTTTGACGCTGTAGGGTGTAGACATTCGTTGCTTTCTGACTGGCTTCATTCATGTCTATAAGTATGACGATTCCCTTAGCCGTTGGTGTAGGTAATATGGATTACTGAGACAATAAGGTAAATCCCGCGTCTACTACTTAGTAGATTTATAGGCACAAAAATTCCAAATTCAGTCACAAATTAGGATTTTTACGATTAGATTTCGAATATCAAATAAGCCAAGCTATGACTTTACTAAAGGGTAGGTACAAGATGTAGTACCGACCCGCCCTTACGTTGGCGCGGGAGCCCTGGCGCAAGCTAGGGCGGCCGGGCGGCGTCGTGGTGAATGTTCGCCTATCCCACGGCGCCAACTTAACCGGCGAGAGGTAAACCTGGGAGTTTTTAATGGGGTAGGCCCACCAGTCTGGAGGGAGAGTCCCCGCATAACCCCTGAGTCTCCCTGGGCACAGGGGTATCTATAAAGATGTCCCCCCGTCAAAGAAAAGGTACAAGATGTAGTGAATAAACGTTGAACATGGTGAATACTCGGAAATCATTTCTGAATGCTGTTGCCACGTCTATAAGTTTTAAAGTCATACTTAGGTACAGGGATTAATTATTATTAATTATTGATATTATCGTGTTAATTATTGAGTTATTTATAGAAATTAAATACAAAACTTTATTAGACAATGTGTAAAGCTGGCTTCCCACAGGTCGCGCTAACGCTCCCTGGGATTAGTGCCACCCGTAGGTACCAGAGTCGCTCAGGAACCAAGCCAGTATAAGTTTTTTCGAGATTCAATGTTTATTCACAGCATTTGTATTCACGGCTAAGTGTGACTTTGTATAAGAGCCGATGTACCAAGCTGGAAATGGTGATGCTCGAAGGCAGATCCGCGTGAGGTTTCTCACACTCCAATTTCTCCGCGGGCTCTTCACTGGGCTTGCGTCTCTCAGCACGTCTGGTCTGCGGGCGAGGCGGGATGGGAGCCGTGGTCTGTTGCACTTTGCGGCAAAGCTGAGGCTGCTTATTGAAGCGAATCAGGTAATAGTTGCAGAAGTCCTGAGGAAATGTCAATTAATATCCTCACGGTTAGTCAGTGAGCTTAGAATCAGGAATCTCACAGACATAGGTTATGGCAACAATTACAGATGCAAACGTGGATATGAATTTTTCATCGTCGAATGTGCAAAATAATCTCAGTACAAAGTACTAAAAAACCGACCTCAAAAGTTCGTAGAATTACATCTACTTGCCAAGTTTATTGAAATCGATTACCGGAAAGTGCGCGAAACCGGATTTATCCCCAAGTTTGCCACCCTTAAACAATAAAATTTCAATTTCTTAAAATTTCAATTTTATAATTATCAATTTTTTTATTTTCAATTTTGTAATTTTCAATTTTATAATTATCAATTTTTTTATTTTCAATTTTTTAATTTTCAATTTTTAATTTTCAATTTTTTAATTTTCAATTTTGTAATTTTCAATTTTATAATTATCAATTTTTTAATTTTCAATTTTTTTATTTTCAATTTTGTAATTTTCAATTTTATAATTTTCAATTTTATAATTTTATATTTAATGTTGTATGCGTGGTTTATTTTTTTGGATTTGAATTGTATAATTATTTTGTTTTTCATTTTTTATTTGTTTCACATTATCTTATTTTATTGTAATTTTAGCATTTGAATAGCATAATACTAACCTTATTCCTAAGTTCTTTACTAACAAACTATGGATAACTGTCCGAAATAAAGTATTATTATTATTATTATTATTAAACGAGACCATAGCTGAGGTACCGTATTTCCAACAAAAAAAATCATCAAAATCGTTTCACAAACCGAGTTATTGCGTAACAAAAAAGAAAAGAACATGAAGTCGAATAGAGAACCTCCTCCTTTTTTTAATCAGTTAAATATACATTTTTTTAGAATGAATGTGAATCAAGTTTGGTAATCATTGAATTATTATTATTCATTAATGTTTGTAAAACATGATAATTTTATTTTTTTTATAAAATTATCATGTTTTTGAAACGAAAGTAGAAAAACAATTGAAAGTAATAAGATGATTAATAGTAGGTCGCTTCCTGTACCACGCACACGAATTCTCGATCCCTGATTGGCTAATTCGATGCTGATGAGCAATAACGTGTCAACCAACTTGATTATAGTTTCGAGAAAATGGCACTTAAACATTTTTTCGTCGTTTTTGATAGTTTATTCAACTTGTAAAATGAAAACTTGTTTTATAATATCCTTATACCCTTAGAATAATAACGCATAGAATGATAGTTTCATATCAAACGAACTATCACAAGTGAGGCAAAAATCGAATTCATGTAGGCTAGTTTTAGTAGTAGGTTAATTTTCGGTTTTAGTGAATATTTATATAAAAATATAAGTTGAAACGCGTTACTTCCTTGTGGAATGTGATGTTAGTATGTATTTTATGTTTGTCTGACGTATTTTTACACTCATTTACCGCACAATTCGTCATTTTTAGCTAAAATTCTTGATCTGTTCGCGGTGCAAGTTGACCTTGAGCACTGAAGGCCCGCCCGCTCGTGTAGGCCCTTTTGGCGCGCTTCAATTTGCCTCACTTAGCGTGTGCGGACTAGGTTTCTATGCGTTATTATTCTAAATTTATACCCTTCAAAATTTGTAATGCTCACATAGCTTGGCGGTAGAAATAGGTAAGGTGGCAGTACTTTTTTTTTACGATACCAAGAGACGGACCGCACTGGTCTTGCGCCTGGTGGTAAGCGACACGCCTATCCATAACAGTTGTAGAGCCACCCAGAACCTTAAATCGCAAAAATCTGAATGGCAATGCCACTGTACCCATCACCCTGAGACTTAGTTGACAAGTCCCATGCGTCTGTAATTTCACCATTACCCCTTACCCTTCTATTGAAGGGTGTTAAGGGAAGTATTTTCCCTTACTTTAGTATTTAGTAGTACACGAGGAATACACTTTAGAAATAATCGCCTTAGAAGAACCTCGTGCCCTGTAGTGGAATGGAAGAAGGGTATTTATAATGATAACCTAAAAGAAAGCAATTTCCTAAATGATTTAGGCGACGAACTACAAAGTAAACGATGTTGCCGAAACATCTGATCCATTACACAATATCGACTTTTACTATGATCGGAATAAGCTCCGTGGCGTCACCGAGTCTGGAGCCGTCTCGGCAACTAGCCAAATTTCGTTGGAAAGTGTTTGTCGGTCACGCGAGACGAACTATGGACTGAGAAAATGGAAAGATAACATTATGTAGAGCATCTTTTCGTATTAGAGTCCATATTACTATGTATTTTTAACAGCTAATTCACGCCAACGAAATAAGGGATTTCTTTTCGTAGAAAATTTTCGGCCGAGTGTTGAAATATATATAATAGAGGATGTGTCGCAAAGACGCGAAACAGGATGTCGTGCATTATTTTTGGTGGTGGTATTTGTGACTGAGTTGCGTTTGTGTTATTTATTTTATTAATTCTAT